AACAGAAGAAAACTCACAGCTGCATTCAGGGGAAGAGTTGAGCAGAATTAAGCGATGCCTTTAGGAAACTATGGGGACTATCAACCAGGATGCTAAAAACTGCTGTGCAGGGCAGGAAGCTATGAGAATGGACTAGGTAAAACAAAATAAAAAAACTAACAAAATTAAAATGTTTAGCAACATGGGTGGACCTAGAGATTATCATACTAAGTGAAGCAGGTCAGAGAGAAAACGACAAATACCATATGCTAGCGCTTATATGTGGAATCTAAAATATGACATAAATGAACCTAGCTACAAAACAGAAACAGACTCACAGACATAGAGAACAGACATGTGGTTGCCAAGGCGGTGAGGTGGGGGAGGGATGGATTGGAAGTTTGGGATTAGCAGAGGCAAACTCTTATATACAGAATGGATAAACAACAAGGTCCTACTGTATAGCACAGGGAACTCTATTCAATATTCTCTGATAAATCATAATGGAAAAGAATATGAAAAAGAATGTATATATATGTATAACTGAATCAGTTTGCTGTACAGCAGAAATTAACAACATTGTAAATCAACTATATTTCAATAAAATAAACTGTTTTAAATGTTTAAAGAGAGACAGAAAGAAGACAAAAAGATAAAATCCAAGAGAGAATGAATGCAAGTAAAAGGGATTAAACTGTCTAGAATAAACTAAGACAAGGGGAAATTAACTAAGACTAGACTCTCCAGGACACTTACTAGAAGACAGCAGGACCAATGTCATCAGGTAGAGGAAGGAGGTTTAGAAAAATCAGTATTTCAATGGCAGGAAGGGAAGCTAAGGGAGCACCTGTCAAACTGGTGAAGAAGATTGTACTTGGGACCCAAGAAAGGTCTCTCTTTCAGGGACCAGAAAAGAAAGGTCAATATTGTGGCTCAAGTGGGACCAGTGGATGGGTGCACAGTTTTAGCCTAAGAACTACAACTTCAAAGGTTGGGACCTCCAGATGAAAAAGGGGTAGAGAAAAGAAAAGTGAACTATTCCTGGATAGTTTTGTTTAGCGCTTATGGTCTGCAGTGATTACAATATAACATGAATTGTATTTGTAATACACTGAAACTGTTTGTAGTTGGTATCCTAAATTGGCCTCACTGTCTAGTAATGCTCATTTTTGGAGCATGAAACATCCGTGTGTTGGGCTGCAATGAACAAGGTAGGAAGGGGAGTGCTGTGGAAAATGCCAGAGAAAATAGGACCCCAAAGCCAAATCTTTGGTTAGAGTAGTAGCCCTGGGTTTTACTCTTGAGTTTCAACAGCAAAGAATGAATTCAGTATCTGCCAAGAACACACTGGTGTGTGTACCATGCCTTGATTAATCACTCAACACGAAATGCACGTGCAGGACATACGGAAATGCATGTCAGCTTCACTCACGCACCTTGAAACATGCTGGAAAATGCTGACAAACACGTTCCCACACAGATCTGTCTAATTATATTCTTAATTGATGCATGAAACACAAGATTGAACCAGATCGTGTGCAGGCATGTTCCTGTGAGAAAAATCAGCAATATACCAAAAAGAGGACAAACTAGCAAAGTAAAGGCCTGTCACTTACAACTATTTTTTTAAAGTACAGAAAAATACATCTTTATTTGCTGATGAATTATGCATCTATAATCCTATTAAATGGCGTGATTGACTTAAAAAGAAATTCACAATATTTAAGCTGCTAAAGAAATTACACTTAATAAGCAAAATAATACCCAGGTTCTATGAGATGATCCCCTAAATTAAAAGATCAGTTAGACTGATATGTCTGTCTAAAGAAAAGAGATTTGTATTTACAAATGCCTGGAGGAGAAATCCACTTGATAGAAACTTGTGTCACCATCAGTTCTATCTGGTACGGTTTTTTTTTTTTTTTTTTTTTGTCGGGGTTGGGTCCCCCTTTGGTC